AACTCAATATGTTCCTTATCCTCCCTTCTGCTTTCCTCATCTGTAGGGTAGACATATCTACTCCAGAACTGTTATGAAGAAAAAACAAAATTATGCATATAAAATGTGTGGCCACACCTGGCACTGAAAAAAATCAATAGATCATAGCTGTTTTATTGTTATTATATTTTCATAGTTTTGACATACATCAGTAATCATCTTTTTAAAGAAAGTCTCCAAAGTACACTGGATTTTAAATCACCAGTAACTGGGGGCGCCTGGGTGGCGCAGTCGGTTAAGCGTCCGACTTCAGCCAGGTCACGATCTCGCGGTCCGTGAGTTCGAGCCCCGCGTCGGGCTCTGGGCTGATGGCTCAGAGCCTGGAGCCTGCTTCCGATTCTGTGTCTCCCTCTCTCTCTGCCCCTCCCCCATTCATGCTCTGTCTCTCTCTGTCCCAAAAATAAATAAACGTTGGAAAAAAAAAAAAAGAATAAATCACCAGTAACTGATACTTGATTATCATAATCCAAATCAACATTTCTAAACCTTTTTTTAAATTTTTTTTAAATGTTTATTTTTGAGAGAGAGCAAGCTACTACTGCTGTCTCTGCACTGACAGAAGAGAGCCTGATGTGGGGCTCGAACTCACAAACTGTGAGATCATGACCTGAACTGAAGCCAGATGCTTAACCAACTGAGCCACCCAGGCACCCCAACATATTTAAACCTTAAACTTAGACCCTCTACACTTATCATATAGATAGAAATATAAGACTAGAACATGCACTCATTGTGCTAAGCCTTGGTGAATCTAAAAAACACAGAGGACCCAGAACTGAGTATACCCAATTCTTTCTCCCAATTTCTTCAATCACAAAGAGAGCAGCAAATGTTCACATCCTTTTCCCTCTTGAGTGAAGTGTAAATTTCCTCCCCACTATGGAAGCATAAGGAACAGAAAATAACCTCCCTCCTATAGAAGGACATTATTCTAGATGCTAGAGGAATGGAAAGTGTAAGATACAGACCCTCCCCTCAAATCTGAACAAGAAAATGCCCCCTGCCACATGGCTCCATCTGGCCAGACTGATGGGAGATACCCATAAGAGAGTCAGCAGCAATATGAAGAAAACAATTTGAGTATGTCTGGAATTCAGAATAGAGTTCAAGATGGGGGCAGGGAGGACTTGGCAGGTCTTAAAATGATCATTAAAGCTATAGGATCATTAAAGCCATTTCAAAACGGCTGCTTTGAAAAAGAGACCCTAGAGAAGAACAGGGCTGAGGACAAAAGAGCAGAGATTGATAACATATGTGTGTCCTTTCACAGGGAGGAGCCTGTGAAAGAGTTTTAGAAGAAAGACGAGGGATGAGGTGAACCAGGACAATGTTTCTCATTTCCCATCCATTCAGAGATTTCCCCACCACATGAAAGGTGCTTAATCTTTTTCTCCTGGCAGATGACATCCACATGAGCAACTTGCTTCCATGGGCACACACAAATTTTGACAAATCCCCCTAAAAGTTGCTAACAAGTAACTTGTGGGAGAAAGGAAGGTTGAGGGTTAGGATACAGATAAAGTAAATATATAAGCACACTATTAAGTCCTTTAGCAACTTACATCATTAATGGTGACTAAGGACCGCAGCATAAGTTAGATGGTCTTTGGGTTATACAAAATTTCCAGAATACTTGCTCAAAAACCTGTCTCCCACTCAATATAGAATGGGAATGCAAGTGAGAATGTTAGAAGAATAATCTGCAATCTGCTCACAGTTTGTAATAAATAAATCACATTTATCTGAAAACTGCATTTGAGAAAAATTGTATTAAACCATCCCGTTCCAATTTATCCTATTTAAAACCACCTGCTCCCTTTCAGAAGGTCAACCGTACTGAAGGAGACCTAAAATTTCATACCTGGGGAGCACTTCAGCAGCTATTTAACCACCACACAGTGTCCTCCTAGTGAGAAGAAACATGCAGAAAAGAAAGCACCATCTTAAGGATTTCTGTGAGATTCATTCTTGCTTGTCAACATGACATGCCATTCTTTCATATAAAACAGAACCTCTCTGAGGATAAAATTGGCTTTTTACAAACCCAAATTGGTTGCTGTTAGGTTCTAGTATTTTCTGAGGTGTTTGGAAACTGCTGGTTTGCTTCCCGGTAAACTTCTTAATCCTATAATCTTGAGAGTCAACCTCTCTCAAGAAGTAAGTCTCAATGCTAACATTTACTGAAAGCTGGATCAAAAGCCCAGATAACAATCCTAAAACGAAGGCAATTAGAAGAGACACAAGCTCACGGAGGCAGAGGAAAACAGGAAAATAACAAGACCGACTTCACAGGGCTGTGATTAAATAAATTTTACTTGGAAAACAAAACACTGAGAACCGCGCCAAGAACATAAGCACTCAATAAACGTTAACCATCAACCAGCACCAAGTAAAGGAAAGGTGCTCCGGGAAGCTTAGCCCAGCAGCGGAGAGCCGGCTGCTGGGAAGACACGCGGGAGATGTGGGTGGCGGCCACATCAGAAAGCGTCAACGCGTCGTCAAGCAACCGGGTCTCCACAGCACCCACGGCGGCGGCAGTTGAGGGGCCCCCAGAGTCCAGACCGCGTAACCAAGACACCGCGCCCGACCCTCACCCACAGGGAACCCGTGTCCCCAGGAACCAAGCACCGCCCCCAGCCTACCGCTGTGAGACCGAGACCAGGATCTCGTACCTCCGCTACCGTCTCCAGCCCTGAAGCCGCGAGACCCCGACCTCTACCCAGTAACTCAGGCCCCGCCCCTAGCCCAGCGGCCGCGAGACCTCACCCAGCAAAGAACCCCGCACTCCCAAACGCAGCAACTCCAGCTCCGCGGCCAGCGTGGCCGCCGCGAGACCTCCACCGCCCCCCCCGGTAGAGCCCCTGCCCCCGCCCAGGGACACCACTTCCCCCATCCCCCGACCACACCCTGCCAGGCCCGCTCTCCACCCACGGCTGACTAACGCTTACTCAGGAGAGCGGGCTCGCGTCCGGGAAGACGCACAGCGCCCTAGAGAGGCTCTTTGCGGGCCAAAGAGGTGGCGGCACAAGCCGGGCACGGGAACACTGCGACTAGCCGCCCGGCCCCGGCTCCGCCTCTTAAGCCGAGCCCGCCCCCCGTCCTTCCCCAACGGCCAAACGCGGCCCCGCCCCACTTCGGCCGCGGGGGTAAGGTCGCGCGGTCGGGGCGCCCCCTATCGTACCGGAGGCCACACAGCCTCCCTATCGCCAGCAGGACTTGCCTGCAAGCATGTTTGGGTTCTCCGCCACCTAGTTCTCCTGGTCTGACTGGGAGCTGTTAAACCGTGGAAAATTCTTCCCAAGCTAAATTGATTCCAGCCCCTCCAAATCTTCCAAGCCCCAGCCGGCATGAAAAGAAAAAAGAGCAGGGGTGGCAATGAGAGAAAAAAGTGTTGGCATACCTCTCCACATTTCTCTTCTAGGGGTCTGGTGAACGTTTAGTCCTTATTACTATTTTCAACATATTCAATTCACGCAATACTGAGTGGTCATGTGCCATCATTAGAAAAGAAATCTCTAGGGGCGCCTGGGTGGCTTAGTCGGTTTCGTGTCCGACTTAGGCTCAGGTCATGATCTCGCAGTCCGTGATTTTGAGCCCCGCGTGGGGCTCTGTGCTGACAGCTCAGAGCCTGGAGCCTGTTTCAGATTCTGTGTCTCCCTCTCTCTCTGACCCTCCCCTGTTCGTGCTGTGTCTCTCTCTGTCTCAAAAATAAACGTTAAAAAAATTAAAAAAAAAAAAAAAAAAAAGAAATCTCTAGCATCCCAGGAGAGTGGAACTAGGAATCCTTTTTCCTAAATTACTTTGTAACAGGGTTTTAAAAACAAAATTTCTTCAAATGGAAGTTAATGTCAAAACTACAGGCAGGGGTCTGGATTTGGTCTTTAATGTTTTTAACTATTTGCCACAAACTGTACTAGGATTGGTGGACACAACTGATAAGAGTGTCCTGAACTCTAAAGCGTACAGTGAAAAGAAAAAATTCCAAATAAATACATTACTACAATGCAATGTAACAGTTATGCAAGCACCTACAGTACATTTAGAGAACCTTGAATCATCAGATTTCATGGTAGAGATCTCTGAGCTCTGTTTTTGAAGATTAATTTGGGCCCCCAGACAAAAAAAAAAATAAAGGGGGGGGAGAGTATTTTAGGCAATGCTAACCACATATGCTAAATTGCAGGATGATTAGATAAAGATGAAGCTGGAGAATTAAGGTGTGATCCTATTCTTCCGCTCCCTCCCCTCACCCCAGGCAAAACAAATTACTGAACATCTGTATTAGATATTAGGGATAAAACAAGGAACACAAACCTGGTACCTAGGCTTTGGAACTTGAAATCTAGAATGGAGTTGGGGGGTGAAGAAGGAAAAATACCTAAAACAGGAAAATAAGTAAAATAATTAAACATTGTATTAACTATTGGAAGAAAAGTTGTTGAGATTAATTTGGCCTCAGGGACAGGGAGTGGTTTATTAAGCCGTAACTAATGTTAAGACTTGGGTACTAGAATTTCAGAACACGAACAGCTCCTGTAGATGTTAATTTTTACAAACAGGTCAGAATACAGGGGTCATAGCCTTCCACGAGTCTCCACAGCCTCTTCGGAATGCCAGAAAACACCCTGCTACAGAAGCGTAGCGCCAACCCACCAAAGAAGCCTTAGGATTTTACGCAAGTGCAGCAACTCATCTGCAACTAGAATGCCATGTTTAACTTCGTCTTAGCCCGCATCCAGAACTACTTATATCTCAAGTTTTTCACAGACATCCTTATTTTTTAGGTTTTCAACAAACATTTTATTTGAGGTACCTACACCCACATGAAAACAGTTTCCCCCCATCCTATGTCACGGATCTACCCATTTTTAACATGGCGGAGGCCGAGCCTGCGCAGTACGAACAAAGAGGACCGGTTCCAGTTTCTAGCATAACGTTAACGTGCCCTTCTTCCGGTACGGAAGGCTATACCATTCCCATGCCCAATCATTGTGTTTGTTCTATTCATACATAAAATTTTTTTAAGGTAATATATTCTCATTTCAGCCACAAGAAGATTCTTCTGTCTCTATTATGTAACCGCTATTTATATCGTGGCACCCCGGAAGCCCTCCCGCCATCCGCGAATGGTCTGTACCGACTTCACCTCCGGTTTTAGGTGTCATGGCTGCCTCGAGAGAGTAGTACGAGTTTGCACCTGTGCTCGGGAGGGTCCGAAACCCACACCTGAGAACCCAGCGAGGTAAAGTTGCGTCTTGGTTGTGGAGGCGACAACTTCTCCGATTCCTCGCAATGGCGGCGTCCGGGAGTGGTATGGCTCAGAAAACCTGGGAATTGGCCAACAACATGCAGGAAGCCCAGAGTATCGATGAAATCTACAAATACGACAAGAAACAGCAGCAGGAAATACTGGCGGCGAAGCCCTGGACTAAGGAGTGAGGAGGTCCCTGGCGAGACGCAGGGGAGGGAAGGGGTGGCGGGAGTTTAGGACACCCAGAGGGAGTGGGAGTTGCAGAGGGTGGAGAACTTGTGTTTTCATGGGCAGGGAGAAGAATATGCGCCCGAGAAATTTTGATCCACCTTTTGTCTCCGCAAGTAGAGCCAAAGGCCCTCTAGGGAGGCTTCCTTTGACTCCCCCTTCTGTCTCTCTTTAACCCGTTTGCTTCCAGAGGATGTAAGAGAAAAACGACAAGAGATTTTTTGGTTTGTCAATTCTCAGTATCTGTATTATCATATATATGCCGCACTCTGCCTTAAGCCTTGTGTCGATAATACACCTGGTTAGGACCAGCTGATCTCAGACTGGAGACTGCACCTGTCTTCAAAAACTAAGTCAGCAGCCAAGGGCCTCTAAAATAACTATGAGCCATCTTTTAGAGATCTATAATCAATTTTTGATTGCCATAACAGTTTCAGAAACGAGGGTCCACCCAGTCTCCCAAAATATTACTTCATCAGTTCACATAAGCTAGGAATTATATCAATAGAGTTTAAAGCTCTTTGCCCCTTAGCAAAAGCCCTGTGTCCCTGGGAATGATGACAAGTCAAGGACTGTTTACCCACAGCACTTACCTTTCCTGAAAGCAGATTATGCTAGGGAGAGAGTAAAAAGAGCAGTCTGTCAAATGGAAAGATAGAAAAGACAACAGTGTCAACAACAAAATTCTTCCGTCTTTTTCAGTTTTTTACAAGGGCAAACTCTTGTCAGTATTCAGATTCAGCCGTGTTTATCAAGTATTTAATACAGATTGAGCACTGAGCTAGGAATTTCCATATATTATTTAATCTGCATGATAACCCAGTACTATATTTTTTTTTATTTAAGTAATCTCTACACCCCACGTGGGGCTTGAACTCACAAACCCATGATCAAGAGTGGCATGGTCTTCCAGCTGAGCCAGCTAGGTGCCCCTGCAGTACTGTATTTTCATTACTTTTCTGCATATAAGAAAACAAGCAAATATAAGTAACTTATTTCATGATCACACTGAGGCAATGAACTCTTAAGTGACAATAGACTGAAGTTCAAACCTCATAACTGTCACTAGTTAGTTAATTGGCCCTAGAAAATTAATGTGTCTTCATTTTTTATCTGTAAAAAGGAATTAAGACCTACCTTTATGGTAATGTCATAAAGATTAGATGAGATAATGTATTAAAAAATGGTCTACAATGTATGTAAATAGGAACACAGTAACTGTCTTTTTTTCTTTTTCCCAGTAAATGGGGGAGCCAAGATTTTAATTCATGTCTGGACACCCAATACCAGGTCTCCAAATTTTTCAGTTGGGATTGAAACCTGTGGGCAGACATCTTAAAAAGGCTTCTCAGAAACATTGACCACTTTATTAAAGACTAGTTATCAAAGACTGCTTGTCTGCTTACTTCTAGAGCAGGCTATGCATTTTAGGTTGCTGTAGCCTATTAAATATTTGGAAATTATCTGCTTCCCCTACTGTCCGATTGTGACTCTAATTAATTATATTCATCCTAGCTCTCTTGGGCTGTGTCAGTGAGATGGGAAAATGTAATTGTAGTGAAGAGTAGTTTAGTCACATCCACAGATGACAAACTCTGAACTAAAGATACTAGAGCTACATTCTCAATTTTGAAGCAGATAACACAGAAAGAAACCACACCCTTCAACACACTGATTTTTAAGAGTACTGTAAAAGATGGGTTAAGACTAATAACAGCTAGCACTTATAAAGTTTTAGTACATGTTAGGCACTAAGCTAAACACTTTATATACGTTATTTCACTTACTTTATTTCCTCCTAACAACAACTCTGAAATATTCCTATTTAAAGATGAGGAAACTGAGGCACAGACATTAAGTGGTTCTCTAGGCCACAGCTAGCATGGCAATGCAAAGATTCAAACCTAGGCAGATGGATGTCAGAGTCCACATTCTTAACGATAAGGCCAAAAAGTTAGACCTGAGAACCTTTAGGCACAGCCATCCAACTAAAGTCAGAATCAGAGATTTTGAACTGGTCATATAATTCCTTTGTACTTGAATAGCATATTTAAAAAGCTTTTCATACTTTTCCATTCCCCTAAATGGAAATAACTTTGCAGGACTCTGACATGTTTATCATTTCCAGCCCCCTGCAGCAACTTCTGCTTCCTTTTTCTTTCCCATATTCTACAATCTTTCTCCCCCTCCCATCACTGTAAATTCCTTCAATACTTATTTGTTGTCTTCACAAAAACTGTCTTTGAAATTGTGTTTTATAAAAGAAAGTTAATTATACTGTGCTTTTGTTTTATAGTCACCATTACTTTAAGTACTGCAAAATCTCAGCATTGGCTCTATTGAAAATGGTGATGCATGCCAGATCAGGAGGCAACTTAGAAGTGATGGGCTTAATGCTGGGAAAGGTGGATGGTGAAACCATGATCATTATGGACAGTTTTGCTTTGCCTGTAGAGGGCACTGAAACCCGAGTAAATGCTCAGGCTGCTGCATATGAGTACATGGCTGCATATATAGAAAACGCCAAACAGGTAAAAATGTTGTTTCTTTAAGTTTAGTAACTCTAATAAGAGTCTCATGGCGACTCTTGAGTTTCTAATTAAAACTATCCTCTTTACATTAAAGTTTATATTTAAGTTATTTTCAACAATTTCTATGTAAGATGTATACGAGGTTAGCATGGATTTTTTTAAATTAAATTCTTATACTTAAGAGTAGATCTTAAAAGTTTGCAACATAAGGAAAAAAAAGTTGTACCTAATGTATGGTGATGAATGTTAACTACATTTCTTATACTGATCATTTTGCAGTATATACATATATTGAATCATTATGGTGTACACCTGAACTAATACAATGTTATATGTCAATTATATCTCCATAAAAATTTTTAATTCTCACACTCAGTATCAGATGTATGTTTAAATCCAAAATTTTGGAAACAACCTAAATGTTCCTGAATATAAAACTGATTAAATAGATTATGGTATATCCATACAATGAACTGCAAGCCAGCCTTTAAGAAAAATAAAAATTAAAAAGTAGTTATCTATATATTTTATTTACGTGGAACAAACCCCACAATATTTTGAGTGAAAAAACAAAGTATAGAACACTGTATTTGGTATACTGTTGTTTTTGTATTAATCTACATTTATGCAAAGAATATATCTGCAAGATAAGTATGTAAGCAACTGGTTATAGTGGTAACATCTGGACTGAGGAACAGGATAGTTGAGGGAAACAAGGTGGGAGGGAGACTAAATAACCTTACTGTACTTCTTGTTAATTTTATGCTTCAGGTATTATGTTTCAGGTATTATATATGCCAAAAAAATTTTTTTAACCTGAAAGCAGCATATGCTATGAACTATTCTGCATGCTATTACTTTATCATAATGCTATGTAAACAGACAAATTACAGGTGTTTCTAAGATTAAACAGAAACCTCAATCTTCTTTGCCCTCATCTTTGTTAGGTTGGCCGCCTTGAAAATGCAATTGGCTGGTATCATAGCCATCCTGGCTATGGCTGCTGGCTTTCTGGGATAGACGTTAGTACTCAGATGCTCAATCAGCAGTTCCAGGAACCATTCGTAGCAGTAGTAGTAAGTATTTTTGCAACCAGTCTTAATTAAGTTCTTCACAAAGATTTATTAAAGCAAGTATACTGAGAACAACTATAGTAAAGAGCAATGATCTGGTGTCAGTATGCCTAGGATTGAATCTGAATTTCACCTCTTATAAGCTGGGACTTTGAACAAGTTACTCTGCATCTCTTGTCCTATTCTATAGGATGAGGGTGATCACAGCACCTATGTCTCAGTTCCCTGCACATAATAGGCATTCAGTAATGTTGACTGAATTGAGTAAGTCAGGAATTGCTAGAGCAGCTCTTGCTATGCTCAGTGTTTTAGATGCAATCCATAAGAAAGATTGAAATTGTTCATCTAGTAAAAGGAAACTTGAAAAAGGGCTAAACAAGTCTTCAAATAACATTCTTAAATAGTATAATAACTAGATCTAAATTCTAAATTCACTATGAGATTTCTATACTTACCCACTTTATTGAACTTTTTTATCATGTTTGGTTATTTTTTTCCTTATTTTTTCTATTATTTGGTTTATTTTAATCAGTGTGTGTGTGCATGCATGTAGTATTGTATATACATATGTATTTGTAACTTTATAACATTTAAACAAATGAAGTATTTACATATATATTAAATATATCTTTCTTGTAGATTGACCCAACAAGAACAATATCTGCAGGGAAGGTGAATCTTGGAGCCTTTAGGACATACCCAAAGGTAGCTCCTTGTAATTTTTAAATGACTTATTTTTAAAGTCATATTATGGTTAATATCTTGTTTTGACTTAAAACAATTTAAAAATATTTACAAAATAGCAGTCTAACTACCACAAATTGTCCTTAGCAAAAGACAACATATTTATGCTATGTATTTTTTGTTTTTTAATGTTTATTTATTTTGAGAAAGACTGCACGCACGGGCAAGTGGGAGAAGAATGGGGGGGGGGGGGGGGGGGGAGAGCCTCCCAAGCAGGCTCTGCACTGTCATGTGCTATATATTATTAACTTTACTAAAAAGTAGTCTTCATTTGTTAATAAGTCTCTGTATGCCCATGGCATTCTGACAGGAACTAGACAAACAAGCTAAAAACATCAGTTTCCTTCTCTGCAATCTGAAATAGATATTAGCATATGTGTATATCACCTAAGGACAAGAAAAATGAAAATCCAGCCATCAGCCACCAAATGGGGTTGAGGGAGAGTAAAAGCAATATACTTTTTTTTTTTAACTGGAATGTTTAAGTTCAATATGTGGCTCCCCAAAATTAATGTTTCCATAAATGGAAAGCTTCATAAGAAACATGTTTCTATGTTTTTTTTAAACCTTCTATTTTTCTTCATTTTTGTTGAGGGCTATAAACCGCCTGATGAAGGACCTTCTGAGTACCAGACTATCCCACTTAATAAAATAGAAGACTTTGGTGTACACTGCAAACAGTAAGTAATTTTAAAATGTATCTGATGCCAAAGTCATCATAGGAAACCATAGAGATCATCCAGTCTAAGCCCCTAATTTTACAGATGAGAATAAAGGTTCAGATGAAATGTATTTCATAATACCTTTTAAAACTGCAGTAAGAATATAAAATTTAGGATAATGTTTAAAATTTTTATTAATAATTGTTTTAACCTAACATGTTATTTGCCTTTCACACAACCATAAACATATCAGTGTACAAGATAGTTGGCTCATTAATGAAATTGACAGTTGAGAGAAGTTGTATTCAGGGCCAGCCTGACACTAGCATGTCTACAAGCCCTCAAAGTACCCAAGTTCCATTTAGCAAAAATTCTTCCTAAACATTTCACTCCAAAATTTAAAGAAGCCATACTAAAACCAATGAATTATATATACTCTTTAAGATAGTCAATCTTACAGTATATGAATTACATCTCAATAAATGTTAATTTATTTATTTTGAGAGAGAGAAAGAGTGAGTGAGCAGGGGAGGGGCAGAGAGAGAGAATCCTACACTCCCAGCACAGAGCCTAATACAGGGCTCAAACTCTTGAACCATGAGATCATGACCTGAGCCAAAATCAAGAGTCAGACGCTCAACCATCTGAGCCTCCCAGGCGCCCCTATATCTAAGTTTTTAGAAGTGTTAAAGCAATGAAAACAGTGTTCTCTATCTTCTAAATATATCTTGCTACCTAATATTGACCCAAGCCAACACCATCTGGATCCTGAACCAGAGCACTACTAGCCTTCTAACTAGTCTTCCAGCTTCTGCCCTTCACCCCTTTAAAGATCTTTTGTCAAAACTGAATCTGTTAAAATGTAAGTCAGATCGCATTCCTCCTTCTCCAGAATGATTTCCTGTATCACCAAGAATAAGATCTATAGTCCTACCATGGACTACACAGTCCTATGTGATCTGACCCCTACTACCTCTCTGAGCTCATCTCCTATCACAAAACCCTTGCTTTTCCAGTCCAGCCATAGTGGCTTCCTTAGGGTTGTCAGAGCGCCAGGCAGATATCTGCCTCAGGGCCTCTGCACTTGCTGTTCCCACTGCCAGGAAAATTGTTCCTTATTTCCACATGGCTCACTAACTACTTCAATCATGGAATATCTGTTTACGGGTCACCTTAACAGAGAGAATGCTCACTAGTCCTCTTGTCTAATATAACACCTTCCTGTCATTCTGTGTTTCAGTTTCCCAGCTTTATATTTCTTCTTAGCACTTAGAACCATCTGATAAGTTTTTGCTTCCTTGTTGACCCCATTAGAATGTAAATTTCATGATACTAGAATTAATTCACTGCTGTATCCTAACATTTTAAACATGGCATGGCACACAGAAGGGTAGGCATCCCCCACCCCCCCAAAAATGTTACTTAAATGATTATTTAGTATCCCATTTTCTCCATACCTCCTATCTTAACTTCTAGGAATACCCATGACTACCCATGTACTACTACTCTTATTTTTCTGTTCAGAAATTCTTAGAAAATTCTAGAATTTCTAAAATTGAGTTTTTAAATATATCTGTCATCTTTGACATACTTATAAAAAAATATATTCTTTTTTATTTTTAAGTTAGAGGCATGGGATTAAATCACATAATTTGCCCTATTGAAAAAAATTTAAACCATTCCTGTTTGAGAGAATTGCTCCTAAGCATGGAAACACCTTTGCTGTGATACTTTCATTTTCAGAGTAACAATTTTTTTTTCATTTATACTGAGTTACAGTGGTATAAAAAGCTTACACCTTTAATACCTACACTGCTGTTTTCACCATCTGCAGCTTTTGAAACAAAGACTGAAGCAGTCTATGCTTTCTGTATCTAAACAAACCTGCATTTCCTGTTTTACTGAAATAAGAGTCCATCAGAGAAGAATAGCCACTTTCTAGCTATCTTCATTGCTAGAGCCTAGAATTTTGAGCCTGGAATTGCTAAGATATTCAAAGATGTTCTCTTAGGATCAGTTCCTAAATAAGAGAGTAAACTTTTTCATAGGGCAAATGAGTGGCTTACTTGTCCCAAGTTGAAAGAGCAGGGGTTTGGAGCAGGCTGCTTACAGATCCATTTCCTAAATTATTTGGTGATGAGGTATTATTTGCAATTTATATTGATCTTTTTTCTTTCCTATTTTAAATCCCACATCATATTGCACATCCAAAGTCTGTTTTAAAAAAAGAATATAATGTAGATAATAAATATTTTCAACTTTAAAGAATTTTAGTGAAAATAGGACACAAAGTGTTTTTAAATAAGCTTGTATGTTGTCAGTATTTATTCAGGAACATGGCTTAAAAAGTAAAATGGTTCTGTGAAACTTACTACGAAAAACAATTTTGTACCATTCCCTTTCCCATCCCCCAGAGACAGTCACTTAAACTATTATTATAGATATTCCTGTAAGTATTTACCCCATCTCTTCAAACAACATGCTGGATAGTGCTACTTCTCGATTTTCAGTTCTAGGCAGTATCTATTATTGACTTCCTGTACAGAAGATGAGGATTTAGCTCCACAAGTAATTGTGAATGTTCTTCTTGTTTTCAACTCTGCTACTGAGATTTGCAGCTAATCACTACATATTAAACAAAAATTTTCATTGCATCAGTCTATGGAATTAAAACAGTAATTACATTAAGGTGATCCATAAATTTTAAAACATAAAACCTATTCTAAAACTTCAAGTTTGAGTTCCCTTTCTTTCCATCCTTTATAAATTGGAATATCTGTTGCTATGTTCATCCTCTCATCTCTTTTTTCCTCAAGTATCAGCAATACAACCCCTCCTTTCTTTTTTTTTTTTTTTTTCCAACGTTTATTTATTTTTGGGACAGAGAGAGACAGAGCATGAACGGGCGAGGGGCAGAGAGAGGGAGACACAGAATCGGAAACAGGCTCCAGGCTCTGAGCCATCAGCCCAGAGCCCGACGCGGGGCTCGAACTCACGGACCGTGAGATCGTGACCTGGTTGAAGTCGGACGCTTAACCGACTGCGCCACCCAGGCGCCCCCAACCCCTCCTTTCTAAAGCTGACCTTTCCACCTAGCACTTCACTTCTTAAATACTCTCAAGTGTCTACAGTCTGGATGTAAAAATAAAACTGAGGCTTTTGATAATAGATACAACTTTCCATATCCTTTCTCTTCCTTTCTCTGCCACTTACTAGCTTTAAGGCTTTCTCTGTAAATGTTTGTCTATAAACTGGGAATAATAAATGCATTCTTTGTATGGTTATAGGGAAGACTAAATGAGAATATATGTAAAGTACACAGGAAATAACAGGTGCTCAAAAAATACACTGTTCCACTTCCACATTTCACTAGCTATGTCCTGTTCTTCTTCAGATCTGCACAGGTATCTTAATGTTGAAAAGGCCCTCACTTAATTGCACAACTAACTTGAGCCTGAGCCTTTCTGTCTTCACATCTGCTGCACTGCAATAGTATCTTTTGTGGTCTTCCTGCCTACAGTTTCTCTGTAAGACATCCTACCACAGCCAGCTTTCTTAAAATACCTCTTTGGCTCTATCATTGTTGTAAAACACCTCTTTGGCCATATCCATCACCTTCGAGGAGTCCCCACTATCTAGAAGATAAAGTTTAAATATCTTTTTTTTTTTTAAGTTTTTATTTTTAAACTCCATTAACATACAATGTTATATTAGTTTCAGATATATAATTTAGTGATTCAGCACTTACATATAATACCTAGTGCTCATCACAAGTGCAATCCTTAATCCCCATCACCTATTTAACCCATCCCCCCACCTATAAAGTTTAAAATTCTTAATCTTTTATATAATGTGTTTCACCAACTGGACATTATTCTGCTATGGCTTAACTGTCCAGACAAAGTGATTTACTTACCGTTCCTTTTGTGGCTTTCCTGTTTGTAAGTGGATGCTGCCTAATGCCCTCCTTGCTGTTAACATATCCACACCATAGACTCATGAAAGGGTAACTCTGAGTCCTGCCTTCTTCCTGGGGCTTCTCTGGCAGTTCCGTCTACACTAAGAGTACTCATTTAATTATATTTAATTAGTAGGTGATTAATTTTATATATGCACTATAGCATCACTTCCTGTTATTCAGCACACATATTTAATTTTTTGTGTATCCATACCACATCTCCCCTATAAACAGTAATAGGCTCCTGAAGGTAAAGAAGTCCCTGTGTTTCTTTGTATTTACTAATATACAAAACCTATTTATTACTTTTAAAAATATGTTTTTTCATACATTCAACCAAATTTTTCATATTTCTTGCTCTCCCTGATTATAAGTTAGGCACTTTCAGAAGCAGAATTTAAGGTACTCTAAGGACTCTGCTTTAAAATTTGCTTTCCCAAAAAGTAGTAGGTCCTAATTAGGAGATTAGAAAGGGAGAAATGGGAAATCCACATGTCATTTTCAGTATATTTAAAAACCTATCAAAAATTATCGTTGACCCTAGAGAGGCAATTCTTTATGTGCTATTGGCTAGAATTTATGAATTCAATAACATAGATAAACATATGTCATTCAGACATAGATAACATTCAATAACATAGATAAACATATGTCATTCAGAAGTTCTGATTGGTTGTTGATTAGCTTGGGGGACTTTCTGGGCTCTACAATGGGAAGAAATATAACACAAGAAAGTTTAGTTAACAGAAGATTTAAAAGAAGCATAAGGAACCTGTGGCTACTGATTGTTCTATTGAACTAAAAACTAAAACATAACTATTTAGATATAAAATGTAATTCTTTAAATTTGGCCATAACTTTTATATATGGTTGAATTGTTTTGGTTTTTGTTTTTACTTATTAAATTTGTGCTTTTGTTTTGTAGGTATTATGCCTTAGAAGTCTCATATTTCAAATCTTCATTGGATCGCAAATTGCTTGAGCTTTTGTGGAATAAATACTGGGTGAATACCCTGAGTTCCTCTAGCTTGCTTACTGTAAGTACTATATTTCCAAGGGATGCATTTGAATTTTATCTAAGCTATATAAGTGGTTTAATATCTGGAACCCTTTTTCGTAGAAAGGCTATACCTGACTTGGCCAAGATATCAGGGCTGATACCAGATTCTGTATGACCAGACCTAGATTGGGATACTAGGCCAAGCCAAGGTCTTTGTCATATACTACTGAGACTAAGTCCAAATGACAAATATAAGCAGTCAGTTGCGGGTGAAATCTGCCCCTGCCTTAAAGAGACTTCCAGAGAGAAAAATACAAATACTGTTTTTTGTTCTGTCAGGTGTCTCAGTTGGGACTCCAGTTACAAGTGACAGGAGACCCAACCAAACTGGGCTAAACAAAAAAGTGAATCTTGTAAGATGCAAAGTCCAGGAGTAGGCCTTACTTCAGGCACAGCAAGTTTGCATTCATATATTAAGTCTTGGTCTTTCTGTGTCAGGTTTGATTTCATATCAGTTAGCTTCAGTTTCAGGCTGAAAATACGATGTCAGCATTAACCTGGGACCTCCCAACCCCTCAGTTTCCCCTTAAAAGAGAACATCTAGATACACACACTCACGCATAACCCCAGGCCAAACCTCATTGTGTCTGAGCCTTGTTTAGGTCACATTCCCATCCCTAAACCTGTTCCGGGCCAAGGAAATGAACACCAAGAGTGGCTGTGCCAAGTTATATACTTCACTGTTAGGCTGGGGTAGAAAAAACTCTTTCAGGAGCACATGGACTAAGAATTAAGAAGGGTTATCCCCAGAAGAAAATCAGAATACCATTAACTTAAAATAGCAGATGCTGGGCAGCAAAAAATAAAATAAGTCACTGAATCTTTTCCAATTATCATTAAAACCTAACATACTTAGAAAGGTATTTTACAGCTTGGTCAGGAACAGTTGCTTTCCTTTTTCTTTAAGTAGGCCACCTCATATTGTACAGTATAGCATAATGGTTAAACCACAAAGTTTGGTATGAAATAAACTCAGTTCAAAGAAAAAAGAAAATTCTGGCACTTCACCAGCTATGTGACCTTCAGAAAGCCGTTTAATGAGCCTGAACCTTCTCTTGGGTTCAGGGATAATAGTACCTACATCAGGAAGTACCCTGAGAATTAAATGAAATTCTTTTTTTTTTTTTTTTTTTTTTAAGTTTTATATATTTAAGTAATCTCTACACCTAACATGGGACTGGAACTCACGACCCCAAGATCAAGAGTCAGTATGCTCTTCCGACTGAGCCAGGCAGGCGCCCCTAAATGAAATTCTTTATGTAAATAAGTAGTTAGCAAAGTGCCTGGCATATAATAAAGCCTCAATAGGTTACTGTTATTTTTTGTTTGTTAACAGGAAAAGGCCTCACTTGAGCATATTTTCTATGATTTTTTTTAATTTTATTTTTTTAAATTTACATCCAAATTAGCATGTAGTGCAACAATGATTTCAGGAGTAGATTCCTTAATGCCCCTTACCCATTTAGCCCATTCTCCCCCTCCTACAGCCCCTCCATAACCCTCTGTTTGTTCTGCATATTTAAAAGTCTCTTATGTTTTGTCCCCCTCCCTGTTTTTATATTATTTTTGTTGCGCTTTCCTGATGTTCATCTGTTTTGTCTGTTAAAATCCTCATGAGTGAAGTTACATGATATCTTTCTCTGACTAATTTCACTTAGCATAATACCCTCCAGTTCCATCCATGTAGTTGCAAATGGCAAGATTTCATTCTTTTTGATTGCCGAGTAATACTCCGTTGTATGTATATACCACATCTTCTCTATCCATTCATCCATCGATGGACATTTGGACTCATTCCATCCTTTGGCTATTGTTGATAGTGCTGCTATAAACATAGGAGTTCATGTGCCCCATCGAATCAGCATTCCTGTATCCTCTGGATAAATATCTAGTAATGCAATTACAGGGTCGTATGGTAGTTCTATTTTTAATTTTTTGAGGAACCACCATACTGTTTTCCACAGTGGCTGCACCACCAGTTTGCATTCCCACCAGTAGTGCAAAAAGGGTTCTTCTTTCTCCAAATCCTTGCCAACATCTGTTGTTGCCTGAGTTGCTAATGTTAGCTATTCTGACAGGTGTGAGGTGGTATCTCATTGTGGTTTTGATTTGTATTTCCCTGATGATGAGTGATGTTGAGCATTTTTTCATGTGTCAGTTGGCCACCTGGATGTCTTCTTTGGAGAAGTGTCTATGATTTTAAATACAGTTCTGACAAGCCTTCTGTTCTTTTTTTTTTTTTTTTTTAAGTTTATTTATTTTGAGAGAAAGTGCAAGCAGAGGAGGGGCAGAGAGAAAGAGAGAATCCCAAATAGGCTCCACACTGTCACCACTGAGCCCAACATGGGGTTCGATCCTACTAACCATGCGATCATAACCTACGCCAAAGCCAAGAGTTGGACACTTAACTGACTGAGCCACCCAGGCGCCCCTGTTCTTATTTCTTACCCTCAGCCATCAGAAGTAGCAAATTAGAAGGAAGGAGAGTGATCATTATAGCATATTTTCATTAAGTGCTTCCTTTGTGCCAGACACTGCTAAATGCTTTATATGGAGTTATTTCCTCATAGGCAAGTTTCCTAATAACAGCCAGAAGTGACACATGATAGCAGGGGGAGTAAACACTAAGACCAGAGCAATCTAAATCTTTGTATAAAGGCAAACAGCTCTACATACTCAGCCAATGGCTATCCCTGTATTCTAGCATTGCATGTATTGAGGATATTAATAATCAAGTACAGATTAAATTATATTTCCTCTTGTGGTTTTATATATGGTAAATTGCAGCATTTAAAACAAAAAATTTATAAATATATGTTCAACTCCTCTCCTTCCCCAGCTAAAGCATATAACCTAAAAACTACAGAAGAAAGTAATTTTCTGACTTAAGTAATTACTTCCCTATACTCATTCCATGTGTTTGAAATATAATGTCATTTTATGTCATTTTAACAGTATAACTGTTGCTGCCATCCTACATTTTTAAGGCTTGAGATAAATATTCCAAATGTGCAGTGGTCTGCAAACCTTAGTTTTCAAATCTTTGGGGGCAGAGAATGTATTGGTGTCCTAAACCATTTAGATCTAGACAAAGTGAATATAATTGCATCGTTAAAAAATATTATCAGCCTATAAACTCATTGGAAGAACTGGTAGCCTTGTAAAAGGCCCTGTGTAGTGACTGATGACGGCAAATAACTTCATGTTTGGTGGATGAACTGTATTTCATGTACATGTCTTACAGTCTGAGTAAATAGAGTAACATTAATTGTTGCCAAATTTTTTATTAATCTTGATTCTCTTCTATTGAAGATAAATGAAATGGAATATGTACTTCATAACTCATCTTTGTGAAAATTTGTTTTGTATTTTAGATATCCCATAAAATGCTTAAGTGTTTAACACTTAAGTTACATATGTAACTGTTAAAATTTTTCTTTTTAAAAAGTATAAAATAAAAAAAATTAAAAAAAAAGTATAAAATATTAACAGACAAAACAGTGTATGTAGCACTTACCAAATGTAGGTGTTTAAGCAAGCATACAGCAATATTCTAAAATATAACTAGTTATAGCTAGGTGGAGGGATTATAGGTATTTCCTTTTCTCTTTATATTGTTCGGCATTTTCCAAATTTTCTGCAATAACTATTAATTTTATAATCACAAAAGCTAAAACAAATTTTTTAAAAACTGTTGTTAAGTACTAATTCTGAAAGTTCAATGAGAACAAATACAATTAGCTAACAATTATTAATCCTTTACCAGGTGCCATGGACAGTCCTAAGATCTTTATATATGTTACTTTAGATACATCACTTAATGTAATCTTCATAAATAGCCTTAATGTAGAAATTACTGCTGTCCTCCTCCATTTTCAGAAAATGAAAGTCCAGAAAAGTAAAGGAGTTTTCCCAAAGCCTCCGACTAATCTGCAGCAAGGCCAGACCTGAGACTCAGACCTGTGTACTTTAAAGCCTCTCATAATAACAAATAATAGATTTAAGGAGTTGAAAAGAATTCCAAATTTAATCTTTAAATTATAAAAGGGGGAAAACTCTAAACTTGAACTGATTGAACTTTGGAGTCAGTTTTTTACAAATAAATTTGATTTCTTCACTATCTACTTATACTTCATGGTAGAATTCTTTGTAAATGAAATGTTCTAAATAGAAAAAAATTAATTCATATATATATATATATACATATATGTATATATATATATACACACACACTGACACAATACCATTTTCCCTACAGAATGCAGACTATACCACTGGTCAGGTCTTTGATTTGTCTGAAAAATTAGAACAGTCAGAAGCCCAGCTGGGACGAGGGAGTTTCATGTTGGGTTTAGAAACACATGACAGAAAGTCAGAAGACAAACTTGCCAAAGCTACAAGAGACAGGTAAGAGCAAATCTATTCCTGCACCTCTTTTTGTTTCAAAATTTGCACATTATATATAGTAGGATTCAAATTCCTTTTCAACTTATTTACAACTTAGAATTGTACCTGAGTATTAATTTCTTGAGACTTTCAGGAGTTGTCAAATGCACATTTGAACCTAGAAAATTCAAGTTAAAACATTAAAGGCTTAAAGATCTAGGTAACGTAATGAAAAACTCCCAGTCACCTTTTTTAGATTTAGCTAGAAAGTATAACAAAGAAAACCAATCCATCACTGCATCTTTAAAAGAAAAAATTTTTGCAAAGGGACATCCCAATCTATTCTATCTTACTCATCTGTTAAGGGTTTATGTTGAGATTTCTTAAATTGATCTAATTTCACATTTTTATGAAGTTTCAAACCCCTAAATATCACAGAAATTATTGCATCTCTCTTAAGTGATTCTTCTGAAATTATCCTTAATACAGTAATTTAGTATCCCAAATCTCACTCCCAAAAATTAGTTAGGAACAAACCTAGAATGTGTTCTCTGATAACTTACAAAATAATCAGGTGGCCCTTCAGATACATAGAGGACTGGGAAGAAATCTAAATAACATTTACTTTCACGAAGGTTTGACTTTTAATGTGATAATTAGAAGCAGAGAGGAAGGGAAAACTATGTATTTCTCTATAAACTGACACTTTGGTCTGCAGAAAAACTGGACTGGTCAATAGGAAGGAGAAGGGAAAGCCAAGTGTGTTAGGAGGGAGCCATCTTGGGTTAAAATCATCTCATTCCTTTCTTTTCCATGAGTTTTTAGAAGATATAGGGCTGGTGGCCTGGATAAAAATTACATTTTTCTTTGATATTAGGTCTCATTTTTGGTACCTGCACTGAGTGTATGTTTTTGCTAATCTAGATGTTGTCTGTGATTTGTAATTTTATCTACATTTATATCTCAGTTTCTTATGAAGCAAAAATTTCACAATGGGAATGTCTCCAATTATGTAAGAAGAAAAGTAGGAAGGAAACAAATAGTAGTACAAAAGTAGAGAATTTTCCTGTTTTGTTTTGTTTGGGTTGTATCTTTTTTTTTTTTTTTTTGCTTTTAATTTTTTATCAATTCTAAAATCTAAGTCGTTTACCCACTGTAACTTTGACCTTTGGTGATTATTTCAGAAAAAAAAAGTATAGGATTCTTTAAAATCTTTTTTATTCTAAATAATAAATAATAAGGAATAACAGATTTTAATGTAATATTAGAATCAGTCTTTAATTATGACATATATAATTTCAGTCACCTTCCAAAACAGGACTTTCCCCAAAACTCCTGATAAGTAATAAAATTAACTTATGAATTACAGTAAAACTTTGGATTGCAAGTAACTTGTTTTTGCAAGTGTTCTGCAAAACAACCAAATATTTCTAATAAACTTTAACTTGATAAGCAAGCAATGTCTTGCAATACGAGTAGTATGTGATGCCAAACAGCGCATGATCACAACTGAGTCAATGGTTCTTGAAATTCGCTTTGATATATGAGGGCTTTGGATTACAGGCATGTTTCTGGAACAAATTATGCTTGCAAACCACGGTTTTACTGTAGATCATATTTTACACTGTTATTCTCTTGTGAAGGTTCTAGTAAGTATAGTTGACTCTTGAACAACATGGGTCCACTTATTCATGGGGTTTTTTTTCTATAAATACAGTATAGTAGTGTGACTGTAGGTTTTCTTAACACTTTATTTTCCCTAGCTTACTTTGTTATAAGAATATAGTATATAATACAGGTAACATACAAAATATGTGTTAATCATCTGTTTATCAGTAAGGCTTCCTATCAACAGTAGGGTATTAGTAGTTTAGTTTTGGGGGAGTCAAAAGTTACATGTGAATTTTCAGCTGTGCCGAGGAGTTGGTACCCTTACCCCCCACATTGTTCAAAGGTCAACTGTAATGAAATGGTTAAAAGATATGCAGAAGGCTAAAAATCAGAAGAGTAAACTGTAAATTGTTGTGATTTGTGGAGTATGAATAGAAATGAAAATCATTATTAGGGGTACAAGGATAGAAATGGGGGGTACTTGCATTTTCGAAAGTTTTCAGCTCTTGTGACATTATGTGATGTGTTTTTTTCTTTGCAGCTGTAAAACTACCATAGAAGCTATCCATGGATTGATGTCTCAGGTTATTAAAGATAAACTGTTTAATCAAATTAACATCTCTTAAACAGTCACTAAGTAGGCTTTTTGACTGAAAGCCAATATGAGAAAAATACTCAAGTAACACTTTAAAACCAGTTACCAAAAATCTAATTAGAAGTATAAGGTGCTCTGAAGTGTCCTGAATATTAACATCCTGTAATAAAGCTCTTTAAAATGAAATTGTTCTTTCATTATTTTTCTAGTATCCTTTAATGTTCTTAAATATAAGGGAAAGAAATATTTATTGGAACCTATTTTTTAAAGAGTCTTGCCTATCTAAGTCAAAGAATTTCAGCACTTTACCTGCCATACTGATTATCAGAGCCACTTTTCAATTTGCCTATACCTTCTTTTGGTAGTCCATTAGTAAAAATATAATTTGATTTTTTTTGTTCTTATGAAATGTTAACCAAGTCACACCAGAAATTATTTTCCTGAACAATAAATAACTTAAGACAGAGCCTAACATAGGTTTTCTAGGTATTCAAATATTTACCAAGTACCTTTACTGAACAGGCCTAATTTTATTCTGCAGATATTCTAAACCAGATAGACAAGGCCACTGTCTTCACAGAACTTACCATGGAGGCTAAAGCTAAGTTAACAAGAACCTGTGTGTATTAGGAAGGGAGAAATAGTGTGCTGGGAAACTCAGGAGGAACACTTAAACCAGAGAGGAGTTCCCAGAGTGAGCTTCCTGGAGGAAGTGACCTGACATAAAAATGAAATTTAAAAGACAGGAGGACTAGCCAGAAAAGCAAAATGAGGAGGCAAGTTTATAAGCAGAGAGTATAGCAATGTGTAGAAGGTAAGAGGCAGAGAGCAAGAACCTAGTACCTTCAAGAACTGAAATTCCATCAGACCTGAGAGTGTCCAGTTGGATGTAAGAAGTAGCAAGAGATGATAACAGATGAGTATAGATCCTGCAGAGGCATTTGGGACTTTATCCCAATAGCAGTGGGATCTTAAAGGTTTTAAACAGCAGAAATGTACTAGATTGATGTTTCTAAGAGCATGGTTGAGAGATCTGGGGGTGAGGGCTGGCTGAGAGCAAATGAAATGACTTGTGGAAGATGGTGAAAAGAAGACAAATCATGGAAACATCAAATATGAAAATCAGCAGAGGAAAACGAGACCACAGGAGCAGAAAACTTTTAAGTAATTTACTCATGACCTGACACACTGCCAAAAAGGTCAAGGAAAACAAAGCCTAAAAGTTTTCCATTGGGTTTAGCAATGAGGTAGTCTATGGTAAGATGAAGAAGCCCATTAATACTAGTATCCAAATACATTCTCGAATGGTTGATGTGATATGTTAGCATTTTGGTTTCATTTTGTAACCCTTTAATTTTTTTTTTTTTTTAAGTAATCTTTATGCCCAATGTGGGGCTTGAACTGATGACCCCGAGATCCCGCTAAACCAGCCAGGTACCCATTATTTTGTAACTCTATATAAAAGCAGGTATCCCCAATTTCACATGGCCCAAACTGACCTCCATTTTTATACCCTTTAAGAAAAAATGACTGCACTCAACAAGCAGCCAAAACAATCTACTGCCACAGTCTTCAGCAATACCTTTAGGAACAATGACAGGGCTGAATGGTTAAGTTTTTGACATGAAAGAATAAGGAGTCATTGGAGTCACCATGAAAACATACTAGGAGCTTTCATTCTAAGATTTAAATACAGTTAATCCACATTTAATCTGACATTCATGACCTAAACAAGACACCTTCATGTTATGGAAAATGCCTATAATAATTACTAGGAAAAGAAATTATTTCAGTCCTAACTTCATTGGACTCATTTTGAGAAGTCTCCACATTTCAGTAATGATGCCTTGACTGGAAGTAATACACATATACACATAAAAATATCCAATTGCTGAGGCACCTGGGTGGCTTGGTTGAGCATGTCTGACTTCAGCTCAGGTCATGATCTCACAGTTCATGAGTTCGTGAGTTTAAGCCCCACATCGGGCTTGCTGCTGTCAGCCTGTCAGCACAGAGCTTGGTTTGGATCATCTGTCCCCCTCTTTTTACCTTCCCCCAGCTTATGCTGTCCCCAGAACAAATAAATATATATTTTTTAAATCTAGTTGCTTAAACAAAAAGGATTTGTTGGCTCACCTGAGTCCAGAATCATATTTGGTTTAGGCACAGTTGGATTAGGCTTCCTGTTACGGTTCTCAGCTCTGCCTTCCACATGCTGACCTAAACCTAAAGCTGGATTCCCTCACACTGGCTACCCACCACACCATCCAGTTAGCGTGAAAGCTGCTCGTGACTGTCAAAATAAGATTCTAAGTTCACTCTGGTCAAATGGATCACGAGCTCACCCCTGAGATTACATATAGAGACTGGTTTAAACCAATTTAGGGCCACACCGGGAGGTAGAAATGGAATTAGTAATCCCCAAAATGTATGACCACTATACACTGAGAGGTTAAATGGATACTACAGAGGCAACCAAAAATGTCCCCTCTACTCAATGGTCCAATCCAGCAAAAAATGACCCAGAAAGGAGCATTTGCTCGTTGTTGTAAATGTATTTGCTTTATTAAAAAGCAAGATCCTTTGTAATGTATTTTCATGATCTCTTTTGGCATAAATGCTGGAATTTAGATTAATGTGCTTTTAGGAAATCAGGGTTTAATTGCAGCCATCATTCAGAAACTAAGTTGTGAATTGGGGTTGCCTTTTCCTGCAAAGTATTATCTTACAGTCTTGAGCTATTCAGGAGCTGAAAAGAGCATTTTCTAAGTGAAGTCTGTTTTTTGTTAAGTTTCCTTTTTTTTTTTTTTTTTTTTGAGATAATTTCTCAAGGTCTTTGGTGATATTATACAGGAAATGTCACTCGTCATCAAAAACTTAATCCTAATGTCCAAATAATAAGACTGGAGCCAGAAGCACAGGCTGGAGCAGAGATAGAGAAGTCAGTGGATATGGAATGGGGATTGGGACCAGTCAAGAATACATACAGCAAGATCCCGGAATCAAGGGTGTTCCAAATTTTCCATATTGTTTTAGTATCTCTAGGTTCTTGTTCAAAACAACTCAGCAGTGCTATACATTATTAAGAATTTATGCATTTACTACCATTTTTTGGTTACAATGTCCAATTATGAAGTGAGTTCTTCATTCTACAGGTTTTACTTATTGATTAACAATAAGATACCACACATGCTGTTATTTTGAAATCAGCAGTACTGCCAAGAACAAAGAACCAATGGGAAGAGAAGCCATTTGTGCTCCATTGTTTCTGAATTTGGAAAATAAGTTCTGAGACCAAACATCATGTGCTCCATTTGAGGGATCAAGTGTGAAGATTGTTGTTACAAATTAGTAGGAATACCTGGTATTCAGAATTTTGAAAAATCACTGCTTGCACAATATAATAATAAAGTGACTAACAGCACAGCCGTATGGAAAATAAACACAGAAGAGCAAGAGCATAAGCAACAATGAATCACAGAAACTGAGAGTTGGAGTGCTGCATATTGCAGAGGTTCAGAGTTTCCAAAAACTGTTATATGAGTGATGAGGTACAGATGCGTAAGTCATGCATGCAGAGAGGAGTTCATTTGTATTGCGAAGCCTGCACTGTATCCACATGTAGCTGAATAAACTGAACTGAACAGAGACTATTGAATTTCCAAGGTTTCTTTCTATATTTCTGGATTGTTTTAACTATAAACACCAAAGACATACATTGGTGGACAATGTGAGGGCAGGGGTTGTTTGGGTATTGTTTTTTTGAAGATAGGAAAATATATTAGACACAATGGCAGCTGTTATTTTTATTCATCCTTATTACATAAAATAAGTAAAAGATGATAATGTTAAAATTATGATGAGGTATTTATTTCATTCACTTTCATTATTTAGTAACTGATGTATCTGTATCACTATGTTTGCAAAATATTAGTTAGAAAATTGAAAATCTAATTGTGTGTTCTCTTGTTTTGGCCTGTTTTCGATACAAGTTCCAACAGCAAATAAATTTACCTTCTTGGGGCGAAAATGCTAGTTTAAGGATTTTAATTAATTTCTTCTGAGGTAACCAGTCTGTAAGTTTCTAAACTTTTCTAAACCTTTTATCCAAATATTAGTGGAAGAAATACCATCTACCTTTGTAAATATAAAGTTATGATCTACTTATTTTAGAAAACTAATAACACAAAGCTCAACTCAACTATAACCAGATTGGCATATTTAAACTTTTGATCTCAGAAATCAGAATATTTCAAAAATAAAATAAGGAACTCTGTCATTTGGGGTCAAATTTGGGAGGAAATAGCTAAAATCACAGCTTGATAACTAGCACCAATGATTAATTGCTTTTTCAACATGTGGATTATCTTGGTGCCAAAAATTATGGAACAATTGCCTAACAAATTGGAGAGTCCCTGATGTCAGTACTCATATTTTCTTTGGATTATACTAAGCAATTATGCTAACCTTACTAATGACTGAGTAAAATGGTATTGTGCCTTGGGGCACATTTTGATGAACTACAGTTGTACTTCTCATAACCTAAGAGGCATATGCATAAAGAAGTATATTGTTCAGAATAGGGCTCTGTGACCTTTATGTTAGATTATAGAGAATTATAAATATCTATCACATAACTATGAATATGTTTATCATTAGTAGTCATAACTTTAAATTACTTACCTTCCTGAAAAATTAGCTGATAAAAGCTCATCTCCAAATAAATGTTTGATTTAAATAGCTCCGTTTTTGTTCCTAGAATTTACTACCCCATACCACATCCTCATATTCAGTTCAATTTATTATTTGTACTAAATTTATTTGCATTTATTATTTGTACTGTATTTATTATATCAGATAAATCCTTTAAAACAAGCATGTATTTAGCTTTAATCCTTTCCTTCAACTTCTATGTAATCCATCTATCGTTTCTTGCATGTGTTTCCAGTATACTTGAGGCTATTATCTTAATATCCTGGGTTTAAATAAAGTAACAGAAATTAGGATAAATAAGAAACTTAATTTATGATCTGACATTATGAGGACACAATCAGGGTTGAATAATTATAACTATCTGAAATGTTCTATAACTTCAGAAAAGTTGATCTGTCACCGATGTGAGAATTACACATCAACACCACTTTTCAGGGGAGATTATTTTTAAACATTCTAAATGGTCTTAATATTTAGGTAAAATACTACATCACTTAAAACTAAGGAACTATTAACTACTGAAATAGTAATTTATTTAGACAGACAACAACACAATGAACTTCTAGCTATCCCCAGATCTAAAGCTATATTAAATATGAGAAATGGGAGCACAAATAGAAATTATATTTTCTAACTCTCAGCCTCTTGCTATCAGATTTCTAAGAGCATCTTTGATAATACTATATAACATTACATTTCAATCAAGATTTTGAATTTCAAATTTTAATAAAGTGACAACTGTTCTCTCATTCAACTTTTAAATATAATAAAATTAGTTTTTCCTAAAAACAAAGGGAAATTTTACATTCTGCCTTATGGGTTAAATGCTGCTATATATCAAAATCCAAATTTCACACTGTGGCCTAAGGGCTGATGGATTCCTGTTTTGCTTTCATTCCATTCTCTCTCTCCCCCTCCTCAAAAGGATCCAGCAACACTGTCCTCTGGGTCCTTAAGCTCATCCAGTTCTTCAACACTCACCACACACCACACTCCTCCCCACCCCTGTCCCCAAGCCCTCAAACTGGTGTTTCTCAGGCCTGGAACACTTCCTTGCAGGCACTCAGGCCTGCTTGTTAGTCTCCTCAGCCTTCAAGTCTCTGTCCAAATTCTGCCTCCTCAGAGAGGCCTTGCCATCTCATCTTAAGATAACACCTCTCTCCTTCCCTCCTTCCACCCCAGTTTCACTCTATTTCTTTCACAGACTGAAATTATCTTGGTCATTGATTTATTTACTTTTTCACTGCCTCTCTCTGCTGACTAGAATATAAGCTCCAACAGCCTGGGGACTTGGTCTAACTAACTTCTGTATCCCCAGCACCTTGAACAATGGCACATGGCAGGTACTTGGTGAGTATTTGTTCAGTGAAGAAATAAATGCAATGGACATTTCAACTTTTTAAGAAATATTAACAATATGTGTTTTTAGAATGACAAGATTAAATGGGTTCACATCTTTGTATGGGAAATTGACTTTTGTTGCACTGTGCAATCACTATAAAATAAATCTCTTTTCTCAAATTTCTTTTTCTCAAATTTTAATAGATTTAAAACAAGAGTGGAAAAAAATTGTTTTTCAATCAAGGGTCACCATTATGGAAATATGGAAAGGGCCACACATTAGCAAAAAAGCACCAGCCATTTTCAAAAACAAGCATAAAGGAAAGGCGCTCTTTTCAAACAAGCTGACCTAAAATAAAGCAGAGAGAAGCCAAATAAATAAAGCAACTAAACAAAGTATACAGGTATACAAGATGTTTCACTGATTTTGATATATAACCTGTGTACAAATCATTTATAATTATAGAATATATAATATAGCAAATGACAGAAATCAGTTACTAAGTTTTTTAAAAATTATTTCTTGGGGTACCTGGGTGGCTCAGTAGGTTAAGTGACCAATTCTTTTTTTTTCCAGGTTTTAAAACTTTTTATTCGCATACTAAAAAAAAAATGTGCATTACAATAATTAAAATCATTTGAACAAAAAAAATGGCACTCTGATTAAACTGCATTTTACAGACTGTAGGACACCTTGAGCCAGCTTGGTTTTTAGATTTCTCTGGTCCTCCCACCCAGCTTCTTCCTTCACCAACATGCAAGTTCTTTTCCTTTGCTGCCAGTCAGACAAGCAGATGGGAGAGGTAGGCAGCTTTGTTTGTCAGTAGTTCTCAATGTGGCAAGGGGCAGCACAGTCATTTAAACTTGATCCAACCTCCCTGCATCTTACAGAGTTAAACAGCTAAAAGAAGTAAAATAAGAAAGCAATGCTTGTGGAATGTGCAGTGCATACTGGTGGCGCATGCCTCATCACGATTTGCCTGCTTGCTTCTCCTGTTCAATCGTTTCTTTTGAAGGCAGTGGATTTTTCTCTTGCATTTCTGTCTTCTTCAGTTTCGACTTATAAAATTTCTCAATCTCAGCCATATCAGGTTTGTCAGTCATAGTTGCAAAGGAGGTGCACAAGCAAGCGAAGTCCGATCTGTGCAGTGGCCTCCGCCTAGTGCCCAAGTGACCAATTCTTGATTTCAGCTCAGGTCATGATCTCATGGTTCCTGAGATCGAGTCTTGCCTCAGGCTCTTCACTGAGAGGGAGGATTAGGATTCTCTCTCTCTCTGCCTCTCCCCCCCAAAACACTCTTGTACTCCCTCAAAATAAATAATTTTTTAAACATTTTTAAATAAATAAAAGTTGTTTGTTATTAGTTCCCATATTGTATACATCATGGCATTAGTAGGCCATGAAGCTCTTAATTAAATAATCATCCCCAGGTTACAGAAATCAGGAGTAATACCTTGAATGGAAACTGCCTCATCCATAAGCAAAGGGTTTTCTTTGTACTATTCTACAAATGCAGCTTCTATAAATGGATATTTGTTAAGAAACTTTTCATTCCACCTAAACTAAAACTTTCTGTAATCACTTTATTTCCTTTCCAAGTATCCTATAAAAATAAGAATCATGCCCCAAATTTCTAAGCAAATCTTCCTTGCTTAAAGGAATTTTCCATTGCTCCCTGTATTATTTATTGCTGCAAAACAAATTACCCCAAAACTTAGTGGCTTAAAACAATATACTTTTATTATTTCACAGGTTTCATGGGTCAGGAATTTGGGTCCTCTCCTTCAGGGTCTCTCATAAGGCTTCAATCAAGGTGTTGGCCAGGGATAAGGTTCCATCTAAAAGCTCAACTGGGGCATGATTGACTTCCAAACTTAAACAATAGGTCTCAGTTCCTCATTGGCTGTTGGCTAGATGTCATGTTCAGTTCTTTGCCATGTAGGGCCCTCCTAAATGAGTTTGTTCTATCAAAGAGCGCAAGTTACTTGCTCTAACTAAAGTTACTTGGAAACTCCAGTGGAGACTTTTTAAAATGTGCTTCATAGCACTATTCTTCCAAGAGTGCCTTTTTTTTTTTTTTTTTTTTTTTTGCCCAAGAGTGCCTTTTAAAATGATTCTCAAGACTTCACAACATTTCTTTTCCAAATACAAATTTACCAACATCTGTCAAAGTGTAAATCTTAGAGTACTTTACACTAAATGTGTCACTGAAGACAAGTATTTCTTGTGGTCTGCCAAATTACTGCCATATTGGAAAATACACAGATTATTGTTTAACACTGTGTGCCACTAGACAGGGATTATATCTCACACATTCTCTCTTTTTTTAAGTTTATTTATTTTGAGAGAGTGCACACACTCATGGGGGAAGGGCAAAGAGAGGGAGAATCCCAGGTAGGCTCCTCACTGTCAACGCAGAGCCCAACAGATCTGGAACTCACAAACCAGGAGATCGTGACTTGAGTGGAAATCAAGAGTCAGACACTTAACCGAGCCACCCAGGCATCCCTGTAGCTTTTTATTCTTTAGGTACCCCTCCTCCTCAAACTCTCCCATATCTGAATCTAAATTGTTAATTTATGAATCACTGAATTATTATTTCTTCTCAGAACAAATCTCATCTCTGATGACTCTGACATCTTAACCAGCTTTGCTTCTCTCTTCCATCCAAACTACTTGGCCTAGTTATTGACTTGCTATTTCTCACTTCCCTACCTTCTCCCACACTGCCATTTATGACCTCATGGTTTCAATGATTAGTTCTATGCTGGAAACTATTACACCTCACTTCACACTTAACATGCATGTGTAAACCAAACTCATTGAGTTCCCCTCAAATTTCTTGCTACCTCTCCTCTTCTCCATTATCATTCCTTTATCCTAGCTAATACCCAGGGATTATTTTCAACTTCTTCCTCCCTTTATCCTATAAATCTCTGTTAAATCATGTTTCAAGATGCCTCCTAAATTTGTTCATTCCTTGCCACTTCCTTTGCCTTCAACCTAATCCAGGCCGAAACTGCCTCACAACTGGACTTTAGCAACAATGTCCTGAATGGGATAAGGGTTCATCTGTCCATATTCCCCTATCTTTTCTTCTAGGTCAATGAGATATAAGAAAAGGGGTTAGGGTTAGGGTTAGGGTTAGGGTTAGGGTTAGGGTTAGGGTTAGGGTTAGGGTTAGGGT